CACTCACAGGTACAGGAGCACCTGCCTGCTGTTGGTCTCTCTAGAGGCAAGATTCTACTCTCTCACCCAACAGCATTTTAACACAGTCCTCTGTGAAATCCTAACTAGAAAAGAACTTCTAGTCCTTTGTATTAACATAAAGGTGACCATTATGTGTCAGTCATTTGACCAATAAAGATTTTCCCCCTTAATGTTGACTATCCATCCACTCTCCCTCCTACAAATATCATGCTATTCATCTTAGAAGGAAAATATCATAGGAAAAAATGTAACTCATACATGTCTTCATATGTTTCTCCATCACTTTCTTCCTGTCAAGAAAACATGAATAATAATGAATTTTAATTATTCAAAACGGGAGTGTACACATAGTACATAGATCGTGTATTTAGTAAAACAAGCATAAATTTAAGTGTATGTAAATTTGGCTTGTTTAATATATTACTTCCTTTTTAGAGATAGACTATAAAAGTAAACCCTGAAAGATTTCATGTTATATCCTGCTATATAATTCAGATGTGTAGCCAGACTTAAGTTTATATTCAGTGCCATAAAATTGCTATAAGTCGAAGTAATGATTGGTATTTAATATATCAAGCACTTTACATGAACAAAGATCATAAATGGAAAAATATCATCTTTACTCATAAGAATTTTCATTTGTTGGTTTATACCAATAGAAAATGAATACCAATAATTGTTAAATATTCTGGTTACAGCAATATAATATGAGAAGGAAAAAAAAAAACTGACCTCATCTGGATTTCCAGCACCTAAAGGGGTTAAAAAAAGAATAAAATTTAACATACTGTAATTAAGAAGCACTTTAATGCAGGGTTATTAGATGTAATACAATATTCCACACAGTTCATAATCAAATAAAACTTACATTTTATCAAAGATATAGAAGTATAAAACAGCATATGTGGTTTAGATCCTTACTACAGCTTTTTGATACTTGTAGTTTAATTATAAAATCATTTCATTGGCTTTCATAAGACAATGAAGACGCCCTTTATTCTCTTTATGAAAGGAGCCCACATTTGCTTTTGTGGGCTTGTCTGGAACAAAGGTATTACCAGAAAATCACAACTAGTTTGCACTTGCTGACTTACTTGTTCCCAATGATTCACTTTCATGTATCAAACAAATCAAGTTAACTAGATTTTTTTAAACAAGATATTTTACTGCTCAAGTGTTCAGTAATATCACCTAATTACCAGATACTAAGACATGATCTAAAACAATGATAAAAACAGTGTGGTGTTGGTATAGAAACAGACAATGGGATAGAGAGCTCAAGACAGATATATAAACTTACATACACATAAGTGTAGTGCACACACACATAGAGCTGATATGGTATAAAGGTGGCATTACGAGTGAAGGAGGAAAGGGTAGATTTTAGAGTATGGCAATGGGAAAACTAGCTCCATATGCGAGGCTACAAATCTGGATTTCTACTAATTCCTCAAAGGTGGGCTGAAAAAAGGTTAAAGATCTGAAAATAAGGGATGAAGTTCACAGAAGAAAATAGAAGATAATTTTTTATTTCCTAGTGATATGATTTCTTCGATAAAACTTATAAAGTATAAGTTGTGAGGTAAACATGAACAATTTTGACTGTATTAATATTTATTATGTTCTGTGAAGGACAGCATGGGCTAAGTTGATAATGAACAGAATGAGGGAAGGTATTTGCAATGTCTGCAGCTGACATGGGATTAATATCTGGAATACAAGGAACTCCTCCTGCAAGTCAACCAGAAAAGAACACCAGCCTCAAGAAAAAAAAGAGTCAAAGGATATAAACTGGAAACTTCCCAGAATAGGAAACACAAAGGCAAAAAAACAAATGAAGTACTCATATCCTTGAAGTAAGCAGAGATATGAAAACAAAGTCTCATTTTATACCTATAAGACTGGAAGCAATTGGAAACCTGAATAACACCAGGTCGGCATCTTGGAACCTTCCTGCCCTGCTGATGGACGGGCACACAGATGCCGATCTTCGGGAGCGCACTCTAGTCCTACCCGGTCCAAATGAATGTGCCGTGGCGTCGGAGCAGCCCAATCACTCCTGGATATGTATCTCTAAAAGAAGCCTCTCAGAGGGCCACATGGGGCAAGAAGGTGCCCTGAATTTTCATTTGTGGTACTAGTGAGTTGGAGAGAAAACGTGAATGCACAGGATGCGTACCATGGAGTGCTAAACGTGCACACCATGAGTGCACACCGCGGAAGACTTGTGCAGTACTGAACAGCAACAGGTTAAGTATAGTACACACAGCAACATGGATGGGTCTCCCACACACATGATGTTGAGTGTGAATAATAAAGTGAGTTCTAACATAGGGTCCATGTAAACTGAAATATATAAACACATGGAACAGTATGCAAAGAATATGTACAGACACATACACATTAAATACATTAGACCAATTGTCTCTGGTAAGGAAAAGAGAGGAAAGGGAGTGGGCCATGGAGAGAAATTGAATAAATAAATAAAACCAGAGAGGAGTCTTGCACGGATCAATGGTGATGATGACCCATTAATAACCCCATGAGAATGATTAACTTAAATTTCTATAATATGAGGTAACAAAAAGATAAATCAAACATCTTTTTGCCCCTTACCATCAAAGTGCATGACACCATCTTGATTTTCTTCATTGACAGGGCTTCTGGAAACAGAAAGAAGAAAAAGTGAAAAATGGAACCAGTAGAGGCTCAACTTACAATAAAAAAATAAAAAGGGGGTATTTTTAAAAATTATTCTTTTCTCTTTAGTATCTGCTCTCATGTAAAACTTCAGAAGTCATTAGAATAAACTTTAGCCTATATTTATGCTGCTACTGATGCAAAAAAAAAAAACACTGGAGAATTGGAAAGCTTGAGCATTCCATTCACAGTGAGCACATACAATGAATCCCTTGATTCAGGGCAGCAATAGGTTTTTTGTTAAAACAGCAGTATATCAAGAATTCAGTTCTGGGATTCTGAAGGCATTTGATGGTTTTATAGTATAGATGCTTGGGAGAATTAGTTCCATTCCTTGGCCCCGTCTTCTTTTCCAAATCCTCCCCACATGGCTTTACTCCCATTACCTGTGGCTTGGACTCCAAGGTGGTTCATTTCGAATCACTTCACTCCAACTGCTCTTAACAGTTATTGATACCTGGGCTGGCAAATCCCTAATGATTTACGGATCCATCTATATTTTCTACTTCTGTTCTCGGGTTGATTAGCATAGCTGGAGAAAATTGCCATTTTATTGATTCTGGACATTACAAATAACTGGCATTCAATCTCAACGGTATCCTCTACACTTTCTACAATCTCATTACACTTATTTTTTTCTAGTGAAACTTCTTGCATCATCTGTCTCAATGGCGGTTCAAAACTTTCGCCACTTTCCTCAAATCTCCTAAATTCCTTTCCCTTCCCTTATAATCAGATGACCTCATTTCTTATTTCACTGATAAAATAGCATTTATTGGGTGTGAGCTCTCTTAAGAAAATACATTCTTTTAACCCACAAACTTACCTAGTTGTACCGTCCTTACCTTCTCCCTCTCAAAATTATTCTTTCCGCCTGTGATCTGAATCCTACCTGAATTACCAGTGACTTTAATCCTATTATTCCCTTTCTCCTGCACATCAATATATTATTAATATTATTATTATTGTTATTCCTCTTCTTTCACTCATTGTCCCCAGATACTTCACTCTTTGTTTTCTACTTCAGCCCAATTGACTCATTTATAAAGAACAAACACCTCTCTTTGCCTCTCTAAACCCTCTACATCACGCACGATAATCTTGCTTTTTCCAGCCAAAGTAGAAAAAGACGTCTATAGTCACTGACTTCACTTCCTCTGCTCCCTCTCATTTCTTCATTGATGACAATCTGGTTTCTATTGCCAATCCTTCCTGAAACTACTCTTAAAAGACTTAATTACCAAATCCACTGGACACCTCTCAGCCTGCATCTTGATGGATTGCTTTGTGGCCCTTAACAGTATCAGTCATTTTGCCTTCCTTGAGTTTCCTTTGTTTCAGTGACAAATTTCGTCTGCCTCAACTCTTGTCTCTCTGGCCAGTATCCTGCAATTTCCTTTGTGGGTTTATTTTCCTCTTTAAGTGATGGTGTTCCTTTGTGTTCTAGTCTTGGCTTCCTTTACTTTTTTACTCTACATCTGTCTCTGAATGGTCTCAAATACCCCCAAAGCTTCACATATTGTTTTAATCTTGGAGACTCCCATATTGAAATCTCTAGCCCAGGCCTCCTTCTTAGTTTCAGATCTTCTATGTATGTATGTATGTATGTATGTATCTATCATCTGTCTATCTATCTATTATCTATCTATCTATCTATCTATCTATCTATCTATCTATCTATCATCTATCTATCTATCAATCATCTATCTATCATCTATCATCTTTATTTGGATGTCCAACTGCTGGTTCTATATTAACATCTCAGGAGCTGAGGTTCCCTCCTCCGTCTCAGCCTAAGCCTGCTGTCCCTACTAGGTTTCTTACCTTGGTGAATGGCACTGCCACTCACATGTTCACCTAAGCCTCAAGTCATCCTTTACTCTCATTCTTCTCAGTCCTACATCAAATTAATCAAGTTTCATCAGTTCTATGTGCTTAATGTCTCCTGTAATTCATTCCCCCTTCCATCTCTCTCCTGTCTCCAGCTAGACATGAGTACAGGGCTCTAGAGTCTCTACTGTGGACTCTTGTACTGGCCATTTGGGCCACCTTCTATCAATGACAATGCTTTTCCTCTTCTCCCCCCTTGCAGCCCCTCCTCACGGCTGCCAACGTGATCTTTCTAACATAAAAATAAGATTATATCACTTATAGTCAGTATTATAAGTATCCAAATGGCCCTTGGCAGAGACAAGTTTCCCCACTTAGGTGAATTATTTATTGTCATTTATGAAGATGAATATGAAGTGAAAAATACTGCCAGGCTGTAGTTTACTTGCTAAAACACTTGGGTAAATAAGACATACCAGCAAAGCGAAGGCCATCTGCATATCCCATCCATACTTACGTGTGTACACGTTATGCGAACCATTTATTACCTGCAGATAACGTCTGCATGCACACGTTTATTCATGGACCCAACACTGTAGCATATAAGTCTTGGTTTATTTTATATAGGTTTGAATTCACAAATGTATAACATGGAAATGTTCAACAAATAAGGCACAGCAATAAGAACAGGAATGCCAGCGAGTAAGAGGGGGAGTGCGGAGACCAAGGTGAGTGTCATGAATAAATCCAGATCAGTGTGTCACCAATGGCTCAGCAGTGCTCCGGGCATGGAGGACAGCTCCGCAGAGACACAGAGGCAAACAATGGACTAGTCACAGCCCAAGTCATAGAAAACCAACCAGAGGGCATGAGTAGTGGGGAAGGAAAGGATGCTTAGCGGTTGTGATAATAGTAGGTCTAGTCAGGAAGGCCTTTCAGCAGAGTCCTTGTTAGGCTGTAGCAAGTGGAATTAAACAGCGAAAGTAAAGCTCCATTATGACCCTCATTATCACTGTCATTTTTGGAAGGTATTAGAGTTCTATTTCCTGACTTTCAAAGATGTAAAGCTGTTGACCTTAAACTTTATTTGCTAATCATGGCTTTCACTCTTCATTGTCCGTTTGTTTGTTGTTGTTTCAAAAAGGGGGAAATCTAAGTGACCCATAAAACTTCATTCTGTGCCTGCTGTCACTGAATGATAATCCCGTGAGTCTTCCTCTGGACCGTGTCTTCCTATATTACACCCAGTGCATGAGGAATCATAAAACTCGGACTTGTTGAAGTCACTGCTCTCCAGATGAAGTCAGCTACCTCAATGGCAGTGCACCACTGATGTGGCCAGTCTCAAATTGGGGAGAGCTTAAAGCATTTGTAATGCTTTAAAGGTTATAATGGTAAATTCTTACTTTTCGTCAAAATATAGAGCCAAAAAAAACCCCACAAAAAACCAAACAAACCCCCAAACAAACCTTAACCTGACTATGATGACCTCAGGGAAAAGAACTGTTTAACCTTTCCTTTCCAACCTTGGTCATTTCCCATTATGTGTTCTTTCTCATTACCTCACTTTTCCTGTCTCATGGCTATTAATAACCGTGTTATTTGTCTTGTATACCAAAATATTCAACCATTGGTTCTATGTTCAAATGAACAATTAGTCATACTGTTAAAATGATAATTAATTTAAAAAATAGCACAAAAAGCATGTTACACTGAAGATGTTGATTTGAACACTAATAATGAGAAAGAGGCTTTTTTTGATCCATTTCAGTTCCTCTCCAAATGTCTGAGAAAAATAGCAGAAAATATAACAAGCTGATTTCTGACCACTAGGTGGAGAAACAATACAATTTAAAACATATTACAACTCTGGCCTCCACTACTTTATTTTTAAAGCTATTTATGTTTCTCATTTTTACCTGCCTCCAATCTTTTCCATTCTCATGCCACCCTAGCCTGAATGATATAATTATAAGTGACTTCTGGGGAGTAGGCAGGTGATCGAGGCCACCCTGCCTCTTGAAAGGCCTTCCTGGGTCCCAAAGAGAGATTTGTTTTCTTGCCTTAGGCAAGGCAGATGCTACACCCTGGGGACAACTGCAAACCTTACTAGTCCATTATTCCTTCGGAAAGCCTGGCCCGCACCTGGGCCCCAGCCCCAGCTGCTCTAGTCCCAGTTGCTTCCGTTTTCTCCCATAACGGGCTGCCTGTATTGAGCTTTCCATTTCCTTTCTTGCTCTTTAAAAGTTATTTCAGTCAGGCTTGTGTCCCCACTACTGCAGAACTTCCATCCACACTGACCTCCACAGAGCTCGCTAAGTGGCCCTCACAGCCTCTGACACAGCCAATGGCTGCTTCCTCCTGGTGATACTATCCGGGCGGGCACGGGGGAGTTGGAGTGCCCCAGGGCTCATTTCTTCTCTCTAGTTAACCTCACTTCCTTGGGAATCTTAACAGTCTCAACTCTAAGTGTGGAATATATGTCTATTGTGATAGGCAGTTAGACAGACATGAGAGAGCAAGGACAATGGGCCAGGTACAGAAGGTCATCAGGGTGGAAAGCTCCAGGTGCCTAGCAAAGGACAATTGTTGGGTGGGACCTTGCCCCCAGGGTGGCCTCTCTTCCCTTAGCGTATCTCTGGTCAAGCGGTTTGGACCCCCTGACCTTTCCTCCCTAGAGGTAACACCTAGGCCCCAGTTGCATTTCAGCTCCAGGCCCAGAAAAGCAGCAAAACCAGCCACAGCTGACCTCAGGACCAGCTGCATTGGATAACGACCCTCCTGCCCTGGTGCCGACAAATCAATCAGTGGAGACCTAGACCTTGAAAGGACACACTGGAAAGCTGCTGAGTATTATAACGAAACCTTCCCCTGGGACCTCCCCTAAAATTTCCACCCTTAAAACCCTTGGGGTAGATTATACATATATGTATAATCTCGAAATCATTTGGTCTGGCCATGCCAAGGCCTCACCAAAGAGAAGCATATTTGACCAAATATAGCAGGCTAATTTTTAAGTTGATAATTTTGTATGGCCTGTGAATGTGGTTCTAAATATCCAAACAGCCATTGGCAGAAAAAAGGTTCCCCACCCCTGGTTAGGACATAGGACCCAGTGCACACTCCCTCCCCAGAGCACAACGGCACCTTCCCCTTTCTCTTTCCCTTCTGATTCCCCTTTCTCCTACCCGCAGCGAGTTACCATCAGCTTCCTCAGTCCCAAGCTCCAAGGCCCTTCCTTTACCTCTGTAACTTGTTTCCTCAGCCCATTTCTTCCAGGAATTACTTCTTCTACCTCTGGATTTTTACTAATAAGTGTTCTCTTATAGTTGGACCCTTGGCTCTGAATTCTTTCCTAGCCAGGACTCAAGTACCAAGGTTGCTGAACCCAGGTCTGCTCTGACCCCACCAGTCAGACACCTGGGGCCATTCCCACTGCCTATAACACTATGACTCTCAAATTTATATTTTCAAACCAGAACTCTCTCCCAAACTCGCCGCCTCTTATACCAAATTGTGTCCTCCACACCTCCACTCGGATGTTTAAGACACACCTCAAGCTTCACATAGTCACGGCCTCCTGACCTTCCCCGCTCCAAGCTCATTCCCCTGCAGCCTCTCCCATTGCAGTTGAGGGAAACATCCTCCTCAGTGTTCCTCAGGCCAAAGACCTGGGAGCGATCTTCCATCTTCTTTTTCCTTCACATCCCGAATCCACATTCTGTTACAAAATATATCCAGAACCTGCACACCTTTCACTGCCTCACTGCCACCACCCTCCACCCTCGTGGGAGCCCTCTCTATGTCTTGCCTGTATTTCTGCAACATCCACCCAACTACTTTCCCTGCTTCAACCCTTGCCTGCTGTCTCCTTCAGGCTCTGTTAAGGTAATCTCGATAAAGCACGAGTCAGAAAGCATCACTGCTCACCCTTTCAGTGGCCCCCTTCAGTTACGGTAAGAGCCACGATCTCTGCATGAGTTGAGCCTTTTCCTGCTAGCTCTTCCCTTGCTCTACTCCGGCCCGTTACCGCCTTCATAGTCTTTGAACACTCTCGGTCTTTATTCTGTCTGTTTTTTCTGCCTGGAAAGATTTTCCTCCAGATATCTGCATGTCTAATGCCCTCGCTTCGTTGAGCCCGCTCCAGGGTACCTTCCTATAAAGGAAGTTACCCTCACCTCTGTTTAAGGTTGCAACACACTGTCCCTCATCTCACCCTCACACGACACCACCCAACCCTGCGCTATTTTCTCCCATGGCACTCAACGTTTCCCAACATACTGTATCCTTTCCCAGGTAATTATGTTTATTCCTTTGATCTCTTGTCCTGTTTTATGTGGGCAGAGGTCTTTGTTTTATTCACTGCTTCCTGAACTCTTATTACAAAGGCACAAAGTAGTGGTTTAAAAAATAGTCGTTGAGTGAATGTCAAATAATTAGCTCTTGACCCAAGAGTGGCCACTGATTGGAAAGGGGAGGAATGGCACTTGTAGGCCCGCAGAGGGCACACCTGGGAGACACCCAGGTGTGATGTGAAGAAAAGCACAGGAACACCCTTATTTCACAATTTTACTTAAAGACCATCCCTTAAATTTCCCTCACACATTAAATACAAAAATTTGAGCCAGACTATCAAGACCCATTGCTTTCATTTCCTCTTGTGTCTTATCTAGCTTCCTCTACTTGGGGGAAAGTTTCTAACCCAGATATTACTTCATTTTGGAATTTACTTGAGCTTGCCCATGAGAACCTCGAAGTTTTCACTATATACCACAATTTTACTTTTAAAAAAATATTATCTTATAGATGTCCTTTAGCTTTCCTTCCCTCTGTTCTCTCCATCTGACAGCTTTCAGATGCTCCAATTACAGTTTGTCTAGGCAATATAACATCTAAGACTCTTGTTTCTTTCCATCTTTCTTTTGAGAGTCTTATTTTGTGGAGCTGGCAACCCTCAGATAATCAGACTTTCTAATTAGAAGCCCTTAATAAGATGTAAACAGGGCTGAGGTAAAGTTTATTACAATTGGTGGTTTTTGCTATTGTTTTCATCAAATAAGAATTTGAGGCTGGCTGGCAGGCCCTTTTTAACTTGGCAACAATTCCCTGCAGAGCTGGGAAACTGACCAGCATCCTTATGAAGTAGTCCTGCAGGCTACAGGACTGTTTTCTAAGTCCTTTCTTTCTTCTACAACTTTTTATTCCCCACCTTATCGTAATGGATCCTAGGGAGTAGATGAATACAGCAAGCCTGAAACTGCTATTTTTAGAAGAATCTGTTACCAAGGTTGGCCCTTGGCTTGTATCTGGAAACACATCTTCTAAAAAATTCTCTATATTGATATGAAAAGTTGCCTGATTGTAAGAGCTCTTTGCCTCGCCTGGATTGTATAAACAATGTAACTTAAGATGAACATCTGCTTTGCTTCTGGAAGTCTGGTACTTGGGTCGTTGCTAGGTAGCAGGTGTCTGTGTGACTAGCTCTCAGTAAACACCCGTCTCTGATAGGCTTTCTGGGGAAGCGGCATCGCACATGCATTGCGTTTTCATAGCCGGAGGAAGCAGCACTCGCAGTGTGTCTGCTCAGCCTCAGGAGCAGAGTGTGACCGTGATAAACCTTAACCATCAGCACCACTGTGTCGTGAGGCCTGTGAGGCCTTTCGGTAACTCACCAAACATAGGGGTGGTCTCGGGGATCCCCAACAGCAGGAGTAGTGCCAGATACTCCTTCTCCTCACATTTCTTTGATCAAAATATTACGTATCAGTCTTCATGTCTTGTAAATGTTTAGGAATTTGTGTTCAGGGTATTTAACACAACCTCTCACTAGAATTACACCGGGTCCAGCAGCCTGACTTGAAGCCAGCAGCTGCGATGGGGTCACATCATAAAATTCAAAAGCGCTAAGTTGAAAATCGAGTGGATTAATTTATCAAAGTAGGAAAGAAATTAAGAAAAGGAAACAGGATCAATATATGTGAAAGGAAAATAATTTACACAGAAAACAATTTATCACATAGAAAATAAATACACACATGAGGTGTATTTAAGAACACATGTTAATTAGTTATTTCAATTAAACTAATATTCACTTAGCATTTATATGTTCATAGGCAGATAGATGGCTTCCTCTCTTATTTGGTGTCTGGATATCATGGGGTGTTAGAGGCTTTAAATTAGAAATTATAAACTCAACTGTTGGGAAGTGTATGCACTCAACCTAAATGTACAACGTAGGCCATAGAGAAGATAATAGCCACTTACCTGCTCTAACATCTTCTGGTTGCTGCCTTTAAATCCTTCCCAAAGCATAATAGAGTGAAACATATTGGAAGCTACCCATGACTAGCATGTTTTCAACCCCTGCCCTAAATTGTAATCATCAACATTTCAAGAAAGCTGTCAACCAGATATTATTACTAACAGGTTCTATTATATGATGAATTACGGATATTAAGATTTTAAATGCAAAGAAATTCAATCTTGTAGGAGACTGAAGTGAAGGAAAAACAAACTTCAGCTAAATATTCGGGGATATTACTTATTTGTGGAAAAGGAGAATCAGGAAAAGCAATTTTCTAGAAGAAAGGGAAAATCTAGCCTCACTTGCCATGAGGACCCATGCTTGCTACCCACTGTCTGAAAATTTCTTTTTTTTCTGAAACATTTCATTCTATTCCAATTTTCCACTTGCCTTTTCCTCAACCAGCTGTTCTGGGGGTAAATCACGGGTAAAGAGCCCATCCATAGCAACCCATGTAGTTTTGACACTTCTAAAAAGTACCAGCTAAGAAAATTTAAGCTTGAATAAAAGTTTCCTAGGTTTTTAAAACAGCCCACAATCTGAAGGATGAGAGAAAACCTGCTTTACTTTGGACTCAGACTGACCTTGGCTCGAATTTCTACTCTATTCTTGTGTGACCTTGGAGAAGCTATTTAGCTTCTGTAGAGTTCCATTTCCTCCTCTGTGAAATGGTGCTAGCACTAGTCATTCCTGAAGATTATAGGGATTATAAATGTAAAATGCCTAGCACATCACAGGTTGTCAGTAAAATATGATAGTGGTGGTGTCGGTGATGATGGTGTTGATGGGGAAGGAGATGACAGTGGTGCTGACCTGAAGAATGCTTCAGAGCTTTAAAAATGGCAGGAGAAATGGTCTTGCAATGAACGCTTAAGAGGAAAACCACTGTAAAAGCAGGTCAACGAGTTGCTCAAGGGTCTGGAGGTCTGAGAGCTTCCTGCTTACGCTCTTACCCCGCTAGCTGCCCACCTCTGTGGCCCGCCAGCTTACCGCGGAACCCTGAACATTCGGCCAAGCACAGCTTGGAAATCTATGGCAAGAGACTGACAAAGAGACGACAAGGTAATTCTACTTACTTCAGATCTAGAGGAGGTTTAATGTTTCTGGGAGGTAGACTTGGGACTGGCGGCGGGGCTGGGTGAGAAGCTGGCAACGGCGGTTGGCTGGCCGGATGGGGTGGTGGCGGCAGTGGTAGGGAGGTTGCCGAGTAAGGCGTTTGGCCTTTGCCCGTGCCTAAAAAGCAAAACAATACCAGGAATTAAGATATGTCCTTAAAATGCAAGAAGTGGTTATTCGAAGGATGCAGAAATGAGAATTTAAAACATAAAAATGTAAGAATTGCATCCCCAGTTGAATTAATGCTTTAGGGTCTAATATTCTAAGTACCATGGGACATGACATTTTTAATGTTCAGTTTCTTTTATTTTTTCAGCCTTAATGAGGCATAATTAACAAATAAAATGGTAAGATATTGAAGGGTGCAACATGATAATTTTATATACTTATGTATTGTTTAAGGATTCCCTCCATGGAATTAATTAACATCCACCACCTCACATGTTTATCTTTGGGTAGGGGGAAAGAATCTTACAGTCTACTCTCTTAGCAAATTTCAATTATACAATGTTATTAACTAGGGACACCATGTCAAATGTTAGACACTCAGATTTCATATATATTATAGCTGAACATTTGTAGTCTTTTACCTATTTGTCCCTCTTGCCACCACCCCTACCCCCTGGTGTCCACTTTTCTACTCTGTTTCTATGAGTTCGACTTTTTCTTAAGATTATACATAAGTGATACCTTGCAGCATTTGTCTTTCTCTATCTGGCTAGTTTTACTTAGTATAATGCCCTCCAGATTCATCCATGTTGTCACGAGTAACAGGATTTCCACTTTTAATGGCTGAATAATATTCCACTGCATATATTTACTGTATCTTCTTTATCCATTCATGTGTTGAGGGAAATCTAGGCTGTTTCCATGCCTTGGCTGTTGTGAATAAAGCTGCTACGAGCATGGAAGTGCAGCTATCTCTTTGAGATAATGACTTTGTTTCCTTTGGATGTCTACTCAGAAGTTAGGACTGCTAGGTCAAATGGTAGTTCTTCGTTTAATTTTCTTGAGGAAACTCTATTGAAGATGTATAATATAATAATGTACTACTGACATCTCTTCCCAACTCCACATTCAGTGGAGATACAACACACAGATACTATGATATATTCAACTTGGACACGATGGGAGTATTTTCCTCATGGAAACCAACAAGAACTGCAAATTTGGGCTTGATTTATTGTTTTGTTGATTCTTAGGTTTAAGAAAAGAATAGAGAAAATGCCAATCATGCAGAAGAAACTTAAAAGTGTGTCATTTCTGTAGATACTACATTGTGAATAGTATAAACCATTGAGGAAATATTTTCCTAGTATTTGAAAACTATTATCCAACTCAGCAAGTAGGCACTCAATCACTGGGGAGGGAGTGGAGTCCCGACACGCATCTTTGTTGTTACACATTCGTTGTGTTAACGTAAGTGAAAATATCAACATTCAAGTTGGAGCTATGCTCCATCATTAACTGCAACCATGGGCTGGCTACAGATGTAAAAATCAACAACTGGCTAAATGGAATTTTCAGTAAAAAGTATTGCATATTTTATTATTTGTATTTGTGTGTTATACATCCTTTATCTCAATAAAATTTATTACATGTACATAACACACATACCACAGCCTTTCCGGGAGAACCTGTTCAACATTTACCAGCACACCATTGCTTTTATCTGAAAAATGTCCAGGCTCCGTTGGCCACCTGACGGGTCGAGTCGCTCGTCTCTGCATCTCCGCTCGCTCTGTTTGTCTGTCCCCCCTGCACTTTCTGGTTTCATGTGTCATGCTCAGAAATTAGGGCCGTTGCCTGCTTTTCCTGAATGTGGAGTTTGTGTTTTGTATCCTTGTTTGGGGGCGGTTTTTGAAAAGGAAAGGAGGTGACCTCTTGAAAAATATTTTAATTTCACATATCTGAGCACTAGTGAGGTCATTTTTTCACCTTTATAACCATTTTTCATTTCAATGGTAATATCTATTCAAATCCTTTGCCTATTTCAAAAATAGTACTTGCTTTTTCTTATTGGTTTATAAAACCTCTTTATTAAGAATCTTAATTGTTTCGCTTCTCACATGGACAAACTAAATAGAATCATCGGTCGCTTTGCTTCCTGCCTCTGCTTGTCTGTAACAAAACCAGCCAACCAACCAACTGAACAAACCAAAACCAAAACAAACAACCCCCAAACTTTACCATAAGCAATGAAGCCTTAAAAATCTTCGAAAGCTTTAAAGAAAATATAGTACTTTACTGTAAATTTCCTTAACGAGTCAATGGCAGGCTTTTCAATGGCATATTATACAAAAAGCTTCCTAATTCCTTTTAGATATTTCTGCCTCTTTCCAAAGTTTTTCATTTATGGTAATTATTAAAAATATTACCCTCTCTCCTCACTATTGCAGTCCTCTTGGAGCTTTACAAATTGCTTAGGCCCTGTGCTCCTGACAGGGGAGACACCCCCTGTGGGGTGCAGTTCTCTCAGGAATAGTGCATCTCTTTGGCAGTTATTTTTGCGGGAGTTGAGGTAGGAAGAATTATAATTTTTCTGATATAGAAAAATTTCTAACTGATTATATTTTTATTATAAATATTTTGTCCATTTCAGTTTTGTCATAAGTAAAGTTCACTTTTTTGATATATAGAACTTACTGCTTATTCTCTAAATCAATGAATCAATTCTTTTGTGTGTAATTTCTATCACTAGAGTTATGCTGAAAAAAGTCTTTCCCACCCTGAGAACATATAATTATTTACCTTCCCTTTTCTCCTACTTCTCCGGTGTTTATTTATTTACATGTAACTCCTTAAAACTCTTAGTAATTTATTTTGGAGTAAGGCATGACATTGACATCTAATTTTATGGTTTTTATTGTTATTGTGTTTCTTAAATCATGTACCAAATCTAATAAGCTATTACTGATTTGAAATGCCTCTTTTATCATGGAATAAACATTTAAAAACTATTAGATTTGACAGATGAAAATGGTATCTTGTTATTTTAATTTATAAATAATGTGGTTTGATAGATTCATTAGTGATTTGAAAACTGTACATGAAAAGAACAGCTACTGTGAGGGGATGTTATTAACCATGTGCAAATAGAAGGAGAAAATGTTTACTAGCCATTTGTGACATCTTTTTATGGAAACAAAATTTGACAAGCAGGAGGTGTTACCATATGAGAGTAACCTAAGGGCTGGAGGTGAGAAATTATAGACAAGGTTTGGGGAATTGGAAACACTAAAAACTGACTTAACCCCAAGCCCACATGCTTTTTCATCTTTACGTAAACTCATGAGACATTCTGAGTGGGCATCTGCGGTGGGCCCTTGCCGCTCTGCTTGTATCTACTCTCCCTTCCCTAATTCCAATAACTGGAGCTGCCTGGAAAGAGTGTGCTTGCTTTTCCACTGGACTGGGGACTCCAAGGGGTCCCTCTGGAACTGCTGGCAGCCACCTGGCCCCCACCAGGGGAGAGCTTGCCTGAGAGAGCAGCGGAGCCAGAGGAAAGCAGTGCTGAGCAATGCAGAGGGACTGGTTGGATTTTTAAATAAATTACCTTTGGAAAATTGTTAGAGATAATTTGGAAGGCTTAATGAGGCTCTGAACTAATTGAAGTGCCCCATTCCTCATCAAGCTTGGGAGAACATATGCTAAATTCTCCCTATGCTCCACTAGTATTTAGCAGCAAAACATTTGCTTGGCAAAAAATCTGTGGTCACTTTCAAATACTACAAGGAATATATTTGCATGCATACAAAATAATTCTAAGAAAAAGCACCTTAGTATTTCAGGGAGGAAAAAACAAGCAGGCTTACATTAATGTAAAATGACTGGCTCTAAAATCCCAATCTGGACTTTTTAAAGTACACCAAAATATAATTAGTAATACTGGAATTCTCAAAAGCTGAAGCCTAATGTGTTGTGTTGGAAAGAGGGGGTGGATTATAATAAAATAAGTAAAAAGGAAACAGAAACTTTAAGTCTATAGGAAATTCCTGAGATTAATGACAGTAACATAAAACAATTACCCTTTTTGCCAGGCACCATTCTAGGAATTTCACATATATAATCTTATTTAATCTTTATAATAACCCTATGGGGTATATGTAATTATTTAGTTTCCATTCGATAGTTAAGAAAACTATTCACATTCAGGGAGGTGTAAGCAACAGAAGTGGGGGGCAAACTCAGCCAGGATTTGACCCCACATCAATTTCTTATGGTGTCTTTTCCCTCTCTGCTCCTCAAAGTAATGAAATGGAAATTATTGGTAAGTTCAAATGGACACATTAACATTGCTTTCCTAAGATCTGAGTGTAAGCCCAGCTTTTCCAATGGGCCTCTTTCCTTGCGGTGCACTTTCAGAAGACTTCCGTTTCAGTCAGGGCAGAGCTGGCTCTGGAGAAGGTAAAGTAATTCTGAAGCAGATAGTCACACATACAGGTGTTCTGAATGTTGAATTTATCATTTATATCATAATTTGATTTTGGAAACCAGATAGCAGGAAAGTAAACACTTAGGAGCTAGTGGAAAACGGGTCCTCAAAGATAAATGACTGATATGAGCTGGCAGGAAAAAAATATCTCAAGGAATACAATTGAGGAATTTGAAATAAAGTCATAAAAAAAAACTTAGAAGATATGAAATAAATAAAATAACAGGAAACAACAAGTTTAGAGTTTAGTTGGCATCAAGAATTAGGGATATAAAATTGAGACATAATACCCCAAACTGGTCTACTTATGGGTCTTACCCTCCAAGGCTCAAGGGGTATATTGCCCATGACTTTAAAATACTGGATCTGAAAAGACCATTTGAAATTCTTTCCTCAAAAATGACAGAACTGTGCAGGGATCTGAGCCCCGCAGCAGTGAGCAGAGCTGGTCTCCTGGGCAGTGCAGGTGACTCGGCGACAGTTAACCACTCAGGTAAACTTGCCACCTACTGCCCACTCTCATCCCAAGTCACATTCAGGAACTGTATTCTTGGGCATTTTAACAGTAGCTCAAAAGTTCATGTGGGGGAGGAAGAAGTTTTCCTCCACCGTTCAAAGTTCTATTAGCTGATCTAATAAGAAAATCTGCACAAAATAGATTAACAGGAGAAAGTAACCGAAT